ATCAGAATCCATCCCTTCCATGATTCTGTGCTCCTATGATGAACTGTTTTTAATATTAGGACCTTTTTTCCCTGATAACCAACCAAAATCTCTACTGATTCTGATGCTGGAATATGAGGGTGAAACAGGCATATTTGAAATGTTGACTTCTTCCCTAAAAACAGCTCTAAGGGCGATGTCCTTCTCTCCAAATTCAATTGTTAGAAAAATTATGGAACCAATGTTGGACAAGCCACATCTATGGAGTTTTAGTGTGCTTGTGTCGGTGTGTGCGGTTTTATTTCTCCCTGAAAAAGTAGGATTGAGTGTGTGTGTGTGTTCCAGCATAACTCTGCTTGATCTCAACCAAACTTGATACACAGATGACTTACCCTATGGAAACAAATATTGTGTGTGTGTGTGTGTTAAGAACACTCCTGGTTTGTGTGTTCCAGCATCACTCTGGAATGCCTGGCCCATTAAGGAGAGTGAGTGCTATGTCCTATAGCGGCAATTGTTTATGATGTCATGGAAGGGAGAAGGGAGAACCTGGAGTGTTAAGCAGAATGAATGTAGTGCCCTAGAGCGATAATTGTTTGTGATGTCAGTTCCTTTGCAGCTTCTTCTGGAAAGCCAGCCGTAATGTTCGCCCTCCAGTGGACCAATGAGGAACCGCCTGATGGATTTGGAGCAATGTGCCAGGATCATAGACAGGGCGGAAAAGAGGAGCTCATGGGAGGGGGAAGGGAGAGGGCAGGGATGATGGGCATTGGAGCAGGAGGACAAAAGGCCCCTCTGAATGGCTCCCTGTCTGACAAACCCTTTGACGTCTATAAATACCCAGGCAATGCTGGGTCATCAGCTAGTTAAAAATAAAATAAAGTAAACAGCTCTTGCTTCTGCTCCTCTCCATCTTTCTCGTGTTCCTATATTAAAGAGTTTAGCTAAATAAGGTTAAAATCAAGTTAAATACCTCATTCAGGGCATTGTAGGAAACCAACCATTGCCTTGGCATAATTTGTGAACTGGACCATCAAAAGTTAAGCCACAAGATGCTTTTGCTGTTTGGATTTCCCATGCTAGGTAGGTGAGCCCAGCAATTGTCTTTTGTTAACCCGAGTTTAGGATTAAGTGTGTTATAAGAACTCTGCCAAATTGTTTCCACTGTAGGGATAATAGCCACGGGCAAGGGTGGAATTGGAGAAATGTCATCCAAGAAACGATTAAACTCCCTTCCTCCTGTACAGCTATTTTTATCAAATTTCCTTCCAGAGAGTTAGCCCTGTTAGGCGATTGAAGGGAAAAGAACAATTTGCAGATAAACTTCATTGGTTGCTGATAAGAGATTATATTGTTGTTGATCAACTCACAATGAAGTTCTATGCCACACCTAGGAACTACTTTATAAACAGTCATGCTATAAATAATTATCCAAGTTTGCACCCTCCTCTTTTCTTTTCCGTCTCGCCTCGCCTTTTACCATGGCTGCCAGATCAGGCTGCAAAAATACAAACTATTAATAGATAGCAGCAAAGAGACACAGAAAATGAAGCAATTCCTGCTGTCTGCCAGTCATCCAGATTTTTGCAACCCATCTGATGTTCTTCTTTCTATGTACTTTTTCTTCCAATAATTCCAAAATATGTGCATGTCCCTGTGGTAGGTTGTTATTTGTTTTACTACTGGTTCGCTCGTGTGCTCGCTTGCACTCGCGAGATCGCACAATGCTTCTGGGCGGGTGGATGGAGGCTTCCACCACTGCCGCAACCAGTTTGCCTTATCCAGGCCAAACCAGCAGCAACCCACCTCTGGCGTGTCCCCTCCAGATCAGTTCCATGCATCTCATATTCTGAAGTAAAAGATTGTTAGTCTTGAGGTCTTGTTAGGCTTCTTGGTGCCACGAGACTAGATTTATTTGCAGCTCCAATTAACATTCCCCGCCCCCAACCCCACTCCAGGACAGTTGTGGATTCCATACTGAGCAGAGATTGGCCTTGATGATCTCAAGGGTGACTTTCACATTTGAACAATTAAAAGAAACCACACACACACACACATACAAACAAGCAGACAAACAAACAAACAGATGATAGTCTGAATTCTACTGTAATCCTTGATCAGATTAGCCCCAGCCAGGAGAAAACCTCAAAGAACAGGTCTTCATTTCCAGCAAAAATGGATCTGAAGATTCCAAATAGAAGGGAATATGAACATCCAATCAATGTATCATTAGTGTTCTGGGAAGAGAGCTGTATTACTGCATGGTAGCCAAAAATCCTGAGGAATCAGACAGAAGCTTTTCAGGCTGACAAAGTTGACTAAAGGGCATCAGCTTTGGGGAGACATTAGGCAGGCTTCAGGTGATGTCAGAAAGTAACAACAAAGGCACTGGAGCTATCAGTTGGTAAGATATTTGTAATATCGTGGAACAGATAACCTGTGTTTGCTCCACCTGTCTTCTCTTTCCTTCCCCTCTGCCTCATCCCAGTTTAAATCTACATCAGAACTTGACACAAGGAGGAAGTGACATGTAGTTCATGAACTGTAACGCGTGCCTTTTAATAAAATGTTAGCCAGAAAGGTGCCAATCAGATTCCTTCTGATGTGGAGCTTGCTGTGCTGCGCTATCCAGGTCTACTCATGTAGAAAGTTAGCACCTGCCCCTCTCCTAGAAGAATGAAATATTGTGAGAAATATTAAAAAGACAGAATATTACATGTTTCCTGGATAATAAAAGAAGTAACGTGTTTTAATGCCCCCAGCTGATATTTGACGCCCATTAAGAAAGACTGAGGATGCGGTGGCTCAGTGGCTAAGATGTTGAGCTTGTCAGTCAGAAAGGTTGGCAGTTTGGCAGTTCGAATCCCTAGTGCTGCATAACTGAGTGAGCGCTTGTTAGTTAGCGCTAGCAGTTCGAAAGCACATTAAAAATGCAAATAGAAAAAATAGGAATCATCGTTGGTGGGAAGGTAACAGCCTTCCATGGGCCTCCGGACTTTAGTCATGCTGACCCATGACCATGGAGACGTCTTTGGACAGCGCTGGCTCTTCGGCTTTGAACTTTCATAAAAGTTATTGCATTACATTCTTGATTAAATTATCTTTCCATTGAGATATATTTTTAAAGTACTACTGCCCCCAAAAGTGGTGTTATTAGCCATCAAACCTCAATAATACTGCACACTTTTCCCAAAAGATTTCCACAATTTTGGCCACTACTGTACTTTAATACAAGGATCTCAATAGGTTGTTCATCTAATGTGCAGTCCATGTTAATGATCTCTTTCTTGTATGACTGATATTCAAATAATGTATGCATTATGTCCTCTATTTCTGGAGCTCTGCAAATACAAGTCTGTTCATTATAAGGGACTTGGTTAAATCTTCCATACTTTCTGCTATTGGACTGTTAGGGTAAGGATGCTTTTTGGTTTTGTTTTTAAAAGATGATTTGTTACAACAATACTCACTGTAGACAGCAGGGGGGTTGACAGCAAACCACAATGAAATGCAGACTAGCATCATCAAATGGCACCTTTTCAAAATTACAGCCCCATATGTGATACACATACATACATGAGTCACATTATTAGCATGATGTAGTCATTCATGTTTTGTCATTTGCTTCCCCCCCTCCCTTGCAGATACTCATGTGTGATTCATATCGGATGCCTGATGTTGCCAGGAAGACCTGATAGCATTTTGAGATAGGACTTTGGGGCTGTGAATAAGTGTCCCACAACTCATTGTGGACTGGAGATCATGTGTTGTCCAGTGGAATGAAAGTGAAGTAACTCTATTGTTGATTAGCCAATAGATGATATCGAATACAGAATACAAAACACAGAATATTAATAAGACCATATGTAAAGATGGAATTAGGAACACGGTGGCTCAGTGGCTAAGATGCTGAGCTTGTCGATCAGAAAGGTCGGCAGTTTGGTGGTTCGAATCCCTAGTGCCATATAATGGAGTGAGCCCCCATTACTTATCCCAGCTTCCACCAACCTAGCAGTTCAAAAGCATGTAAAAATGCAAGTAGAAAAACAGAAACCACCTTTGGTGGGAAGATAACAGCATTTTGTGCGTCTTCGGTGTTTAGTCATGCCGGCCACATGACCACGGAGAAATCTTCGGACAGAGCTGGCTCTTTGGCTTTGAAACAGAAATGAGCACCACCCCCTAGAGTTTGGAATGACTAGCACATATGTGTGAGGGGAACCTTTACCTTTAAAGATGGAATTAAATACCATTTACATGTGACATACCAGTAATAGCAGTATTCCAATATCTAAGGGGATGTAATAAAGAAGAGGGGTCAACCTTTTCTCCCAAAAGCACCTGAAGGCAGGACAAGCAATGGATGGAAACTAATCAAGAAAAGACATAACCTAGAACTAAGGAGGAATTTCCTGACAGTTAAAACAATCAGTGGAACAACTTGCCTCCAGAAGTTATGGAGGTTCCAACACTGGAGGTTTTTAAGACAAGATTGGATAACCATTTGTCTGAGCTGGAAGATGGACTAGAAGACCTCCACGGTCCTTCCAATCCTCTTATTCTGTGAAAGAATAAAGAATGCAAATCATATTTGTGTCATCACTACAATTTACCCCAATGAAACTCACACCTGCAGATCTCAATGGAACTGTTTTATTCAAATGAAGGGCTGTGTTATATATGCAATATATGAATTTTAACCCCACATTAAATATATTGTTTTAATGTAAGAATCCCAATAGGTTATTTAACCGTAATCCTGATGTGCAATCCATGTGTTATGTCCTCTACCTCTGGAGCTCTGCAAATGCAAGTATGCTCATTAAAAGGGACTTGGTTAAGTCTTCAATATTTAATCATTGTATCCAGTGGTTTGAATCTTATAATGGAAGGGAAGCATTCATCAGACCAATTCTACATACGCTGCAAAGTGTACTACTGACCCACAGAACAGTCTTGCCAATTTTTCATTTTATTTATATATAAAAAAATCTTTTTTATTTAGAAAAACAAACAAACAAAAGACGCAAACACAGAGTGCATACCCATAACCCTCCATCGTGCGCCCTACAAATGTGAACATTGGTTATGAACTGGTGATGTGGAACTATCTTCTTAATGGCCACGTTGATCCAAGACATCTCCATCCAAGGCACACAGGTGAGTTCTCTACATCCAACCATCTCCTTTTCACAGCTTAGTTATCAGAAAGAGTTCGGTAGAGATGGGGAGAAAAAGGTCCTTGCCCCCTTATCTCTTCCTATCACAATTTGCTCTTTATCAGAGGTCTTCAAAATTTGGCAACTTTAAGACTTGTGGACTTCCAATATTCTCCAGTCAGAGTTGAAGTCCACAAGTCTTAAAGTTGCCATGCTTAGGGACCCCGGCTCTTGATTGAAGCTGGAGAGCGATCCTATTTTTTTTAACCATCACAAGCTTTTCACCTGCAGCAACAAAAGTCAGTTTCCCAAGCATATATTTTTGCAGTTCCAAACACAAAACCCCCAAACCACCCTGCTCCTTTGATTTAATCCAGAGAGAGGCAGGAACCTTTTCCAAAAAGGCTGACACATGAGCATTTTTAAAAAATCCACATTACTTTCCCATTGCAGGAAAGGTTGTGGTTTTAACACCCAAGGATCCAGCTTGTGCTTACAGTCCTACGATGTGAAAGAATTAGAACACATAATAAAAAAGAAGGTACAAATAGGAAGCCAGGAGAGAGGCTGACCACCGCAACGATTCATAAGGATACACATATATAACACAATATTGACCTCAAACATTCAGGAGTAATCTCTGTTTGACAGAGCCCTGCACAAATAATGATTGCAATGAGAAGGATGGATGAGCAGCTACACTGGAGAAGGCCAGATAGCTTTCAATATTTAGAGTGTATCGCCAATGGATAATTTATACTGAGTAAAGTTCAGATGACACAATAGTCTTTTGTCTACGAAGGAATGTGGCTTCCCAGAACCATCAGAATGAAGTTCTGATGAGGTTCTGATCCATTGAAAACCAAGAGAAATGTGTGCCTGCTGCAGCTTTTCATATTTTGGTATCTTCCAGATGTGCTGGGATCTTCGTGCCCAACATCCCAAACCACCATGGCTGGAAACCTGAGGACCTGTAGCCCCATCAGGGTTGAAGGCAAGAGTAGGTTCCAGCTCCTTCTACTGATGATTCACTCAGGGACGCACTTTGGGCTTCAGGACGTGCTTCAGGTGCATGCACAGTAGGCAAAAAAAATATTTTGGCCATGCGCAGAAGCAAAAGACAAGATGGTGGCATCTGCAGTGCTGCCAATAAAACTGGTTCAGGGATGTGGCCAGCTGAGTTACTACCTACTTGCCCAAACCTGTAGGAACCCACCTCTGGTTGAAGAGCATTTAGCTTGTGGAAGGCCAATCTCTAAAAAAAGAGTCGTGACGGAAGGAGAGATGGAATTACATAACCAAGGAGATGGAGAAAGGGGAGTTAATTTACACAGTGAACCATTTTGATTCAGTTTCTCCAAGTTACCAGTTGAAGGGTGGGGGGGAAATGTAGAGAGAGCCCTTTGCAGACCCAAAGTTCACTCAGTGTCAGTGGAGACAGAAATTGGAGCTTCAAATATATGGTGAGATTGAAAACTTTTCTACTGTGTTAGATGGAAGACATTTATAAAGCAACCCCAGAGGACCAAAGCCATATCAGCTCCATACTTAAATAGGAGTCATATTTAATAAGATAAGATGAGCAACAACAATTATTCTCCCTAATGCCTACTTGGAACAATATGCAAATGGCAGATGAGCTGCAGTATTTAATAAGTAAGCTGCCCAGAAATTTGACAACTGCAACATGAAAACAAAATCTGCTTGACGAATGACTTTCCTCAACCTGCTCACATGTCCATTCCTAAAAAGGTGACATACCAGAAGTTCCTCCCTGCGTTTATTCTGCACTCTCCTTTTCAGCTTGCATTTACTTCCAGTATTTGAAACTCAGTTTGGATAGTCCAAGCTAGTTTCTCTTCTACCTACCCTCCTCCCTTTGTGGTCCGGTGGCTGTTTGCTGATCTGCAAGTCACAAGACACCTCAAAATACAGACCCAACTACTTATGTTTTTCCTCCAGGAATCAACATTTAGCACTCCATCTTAAAATGCTCGTTAACCAGCCACTTCAATGACTTCTATGAGATTGTTTGTCTTTTTACACTTTTGGTGGATCCACAAGTTCAGTCTGTGTCCATGCATTCAAGTCCTGGTTCTCACCTGGGCAGTAGAATACTGTGGCAACAACTTGGGAAGCACCTGGGAAGAATCCCGAGGCCCAGCCTCTTTCTTCCATGGTAAGGAATCATATTGGAGCCTTTCGCATGAAGAGACCCTCAGGAGAAACTTGGCTGCTCTCAAGGAAGCCCCCATGGAGCTTACACTTCAAATGGCTGCTTGCTAGACATACTGTTTTTTAGAAGCACTGCTACTTGGTCGGCTGGACTGCCTGTCTGGAGAGGGACGGATCCCAGGGGCTACCGTTGCAAAGAGATCAGGGGCATTCATCTGGTTTTGCAAGGCCAGGGTTTCTTCTGTGTTGTAGTTGGCCCAGTTCTGCTCACTGGAGAGCTTGTTGTATCCCTGGTAGGGTGGAGCATGCCCGTCTGACATGGGGAGGTAGAAATAGGGTTTATCTGGCGGATAAGGCCCCGTTGGCATTTTACCCATGCTGTTGGCATCGAAGGGTAGAGGGGGAGCAGACGATGGGGAGCAGCAGTCTCTTTCCTTAACCCTTTTGAGCGCGTGCTTGCAAAAGAGATGGAGAAGCTCCAAAATGTTGAGGACAAGGGAGATCAAGCCCATTACCAGCATGAAAAGGATGAAGATGGTTTTTTCAGTGGGACGGGACATAAAACAGTCTATAAGGTATGGGCATGGAGGACCTTTGCACACATAGTTAGCATGCATGACAAAGCCGTATAGGTACCACTGGCCAAGAAGAAAGCCTGCCTCAAAGATGGTCTTGAAGATCACGCTAATGACATAGGTCCACATTAGAGGTCCGCGGATTTTAATGTGTCCATCTTCAGCCACACAGATCTTGGCCATCTTCTTCTCCACCGCCATCAACATAGCTGCTGCCTTGTAATCTTTGGTTTGCAATGCCCGGAGTTCGTGCTCCCTTTCCTTTAGCTTCTCCTCTTGTCGGGAGAGGTAGATGACATGCCCCAGATAGACCAAAGTTGGGGTGCTGACAAAGAGAAACTGCAGCACCCAGTAACGAATATGGGAAATAGGGAAGGCATTGTCATAGCAGACGTTGGTACAGCCGGGTTGCTTGGTATTGCACACAAAATCGGACTGCTCATCCCCCCAAACGGACTCCCCGGCTAGACCCAGGATCAAGATGCGGAAGATGAAGAGGACGGTCAACCAGATCTTGCCGATGGCTGTTGAATGTTCCTGCACCTGGTCCAGTAACTTCTCCAGGAAGCCCCAGTCTCCCATCTTGTGCTAAGGACAGTAGAGAAGTAGGCATTAACAAGGGATCCATAATCATTTCACGAGAGCTTGAGATTCTCACCATCATTTGAGTTCCAGGTGGGCAAACATCCTGAATTGAGGATGACACTGGGCCCTAGGAGGCCTTCTAGGGCTCCAAAGGAAGACAAGGCTAATCAATGGGGCCATAATTCACCCCAGCCAATTGTTGTGAAAATTCATTCTCTTCCCAACATAGATGGACTCATACAATACCCTCTGGTTAACACATTTCCAGTCTTGGTAACCTGTTTTCCCGAAAATAAAACAGGGTCTTATTTTCTTTTCACCCGCGAAAGAAGCACTTGGCCTTATTTTGGGGGAGGTCTTATTATTTTTAAGGTGCAGGAGGCGGCAAGCATGGTCACCTCAAGGCTGCTGCTGTGTCGCAATATTTTCAGAGAGGGCTTATTTTAGTGCATGTGCCCAAAAGCCCAATTGGGCTTATTATCTGGGGAGGTCTTATTTTCGGGGAAACAGGGTATTTTAAATCCAACCAAATTGTACAATGGTGGTGTTTACACAACATTCTTAATTTAGTTATTGAGGAAACCCTCTTGTTCTAAATTACACTATAAGCTGCAAAGCCACAAAAATAATAACGGTTAAGACTAGCATCCTATGCAAATATAGCTGCAAACGTTTGCAATTGATCTGATTTGTTGTGGGAACACAGAATATAGCTGAGCATGATTTGAGGATGTGGTTGGAGTTTAAAACTATACTAATATTTTACCTAGCAACAGGGGAAGTGATGACACTGAAGAGTATTTCTGTGCGTCAGTGTGTAGGACAACAGTGATTTGAATGATTTCCCTACCATATTTTAATAATACAACAGATGCATACATGTTATAAACATAGCTTTAATTCTATTGGACTTAAAAAAAGAATAAATGCTTTTCTGAATAGTAGTACAGAAGCCCACATACAATATGTAGGTGGAATAGAAAGGACAGAATCTCAGGTGTTCCCAGCCCTGCACTCCTCTGAATGTCTGATTTGAGTGGTGATGTCATTCCTGGAATCTGTTGGATTCCCAGCTTAGGAGTCACGGCCACAAGTTCTCCTACCGACATTGGGACCACTTTGGCCTTAACTTTTCACATTCTTTCTAGTGGCCCCTTTAAAACTTGTTCCTTCTCTGGCTTCTCACACTCCTTTCTTCCTGATGCTGATGTTGCTTGGCGCCTCTACATCTATCATCACTGCTGCATTCTGGTCCTTGTCTACTAATCCCATTCATTGATTGAACACATATGCATCCTGGAGGGAGGGAGGGGGAGAGAGGGAGAGAGAGGGGGGGAAGGGAGAGAGGGAGAAAGGAGGGAGGGAGGGAGGGAGGGAGGGAGGGAGAGAGAGAGAGAGAGAGAGAGAGAGAGAGAGAGAGAGAGAGAGATCCTAGCATCCAGCAAAATGTTAGTTTAGAAGAGTCACCAATCTCATGTGATTCTTGAAAGATTAAAAAAAAAGCAGTAGGGTCTGAGATCCATTGCTTTCTTGGGGAAGAGAGAGAGAAGGAGAGAGAGAGGGAGGGAGGGAGGGAGAGAGAGACAGACAGACAGAGAGACAGACAGACAGACACTACAGGAGTCTCCAAAGTGGGCAAAGCAGGTGAGTAACTAGAGAATAATCACACCCATCAACACAGGCTGTAACAGTCCAACTGTGAATCCAGGAGCAGCTTCCAAAATTCCAGGTGAGTACTAATTCACCCCCAACACTTAATATACCTCTTTACTAGACCATCTTCAGGCAAAGAACATCCAATAAATGCTGAGTTTTGAGAGCTGTGCCAGGAGGGAAACCAGATTAAGGCAAAATTCCATGTATGGGTCTGAATACAAATTCTATCGTGACCTCTAACTTTGTCATCATCAACTTAATATAGGAGAATTAGATCTGCTGAAGAAAACAGGAGAGGCTGCAAAATGGCTTAACATTTGAAAAGGAAATTCTGGAAACTGAAAGATGTTTTTTGGCTCTTCTTCCGGAAGGGTTCTATAAATATCTTTCTTTTTCAGAAATGGTTGCGTTTACAGTTCGCTTACAATAAGAGAAACATTTAGGTGTTACAACACTGTCATTTTTGTCTAGTATAGTTAAACAAAACTGCCCTTCTGAAATTAGAAGTAGCCTTAACCGTGGAGTTAAAAATACTGTGCATCTGTGCATAATCAGGAATTTAAAGAAATGATTTTAAAGCAATTCATGATGGCTAAAAGTCTCCTTTCAAATAAAGTTGCACATTACCTGGCATACACCCACAAACACAAACATTTGAAAACCCAGAGGTTCCACACATGGGAGAAGATGGAAGTATGAGAAGATTTTAAGCATGCAGTCATAAAACCAAATGGCTTGTTTTTCCCTATAAAGAATAGCTGCAAGAACTGGGTCTGTCTAGTTTGATGAAAAGAAGGACTAGGGGAGACATGATAGCAGTCTTCCGATGTCTCAGGGGTTGCCACAAAGAAGAGGGAGTCAAGCTATTCTCCAAAGCCCCTGAAGGCAGGACAAGAAGCAATGGATAGAAACTAATCAAGGAGAGAAGCAGCCTAGAACTAAGGAGAAATTTCCTGACAATTAGAACAATTGATCAGTGGAACAACTTGCTTCCAGAAGTTGTGAATGCTCCAACACTGGAAGTTTTTAAGAAGATGATGGACAAACATTTGTCTGAAATGGTATAGGGTTTCCTGTCTAGGCAGGGGGTTGGACTAAAAGACCTCCAAGGTCCCTTCCAACTCTGTTATTCTAATATTCTATCCCTTGCAAGAAATATTTCACTGTACTGTTCCTTGTCTTCATGCTTTGCTACAACCCTGTCTATAATCCCTTTTTTTTTTTTTTAAAAAAAAAACAGAAGCAGGATTCAAACCCCCAACTGCCCAAACATTGCTGCATTGGCATTTAAAGGATTAACTTTTAAAATCTCCCGCCTAGAAAGGAAGAGAGCCACGATAATCTAGGGGATAGTAAAAAAATATCTGGCAATTTATGTCTTTTAATAAAACCTGTTGTTTGGAAAAGATGCTACCAGACTCCCTTGTCTCAGGAAGGCAGTAGAACTACAGGAAAAAAACAAACCACAAGTGCTTAAATTTACCCATATAATCTAGCCTCAGCAGCTGCTTAGGGCTTATAAAGAGTAAGTGCCTGAGGTTGCCAATTGCTTTGGTAAAATTAGGGATAAAGAATAAAAAATTGTATCCTGTGGATTTTTTTCTTCCTGCTTTTAGAGAAGGTTGCCCTATAGACAAGCTTTTCCTGACAAGGTGATAAAATAGCCATTGGCTGTCTAACACATTTGCACAACCAGAAGGCAGAGGATGGCTGGAAGTGTTGGCATCCTGAATTGATTTGTTGGGTTTTGATCAGGGGTGAAATTCAGCAGATTCTGACAGGTTCTGGAGAACCAGTGGTGGAAATTTTGAGTAGTTCAAAGAACCAGCAAATACCACCTCTGTCTGGCCCAGAGTGGGGAGGGAATGGAGATTTTGCAGTATCCTCCCCCTGCCACGCCCACCAAGCCACGCCCACAGAACCGGTAATAAAAAAGACTGGTTTTGATGATCCTAGTTGTGCTTGTATTTATTTATTTATTTGTATTTATTTATTTCGTCAAGCATGAATTAGATAAAAATTATTCATGCTTGACAAAATATAAATAAATAAATAAATAAATAAATAAATAAATAAATAAATAAATAAATAAATAAATAAATAAATAAATAAATAAATAAATAACTGCAAGCACAACTAGGATCATCAAGACCCAACAAATTAGGAACTCCATACTTGATCATGCTTGGTCTTAAGAGAATTCCTCTGAGCAGGAGTACTAGCTCTTCTCTCATAACTCAATGAGAACTAGTTACTTCCTTTTAAAGATACAACAAGCCCAACATGGAGTCTGTTGAGATGTTGAGACTGAGAAAAGTGCAGAGAAAGGCAACTAAGATGATTAAAGGCCTGGAGACTAACACATATGAAGAATGATCGCAGGGATTGGGTATGGCTAGTCGAGAGAAAAGAAGGACCAGGGGTGACATGACAGCAGTATTCCAGTATTTGAGGGTCTGCCACAAAGAAGAGGGAGAGGGGGTCAACTTATTTTCCAAAGCATCAGAAAGTAGGAAGAAACAATCAAGGAGAGAAGCAATTTGGAATTAAGGAGAAACTTTCTAACAGTGAGAACAATTAATCAGTGGAACAGTTTGCCTTTAGAAGTTGTGGGTGCTGCTCCATCACTGGAGGCTTTAAAAAAAAAAGACTGGACAACCATTTGTCTGAAATGGTGTAGGGCCTCCTGCTTGAGCAAGGGGCTGGACTAGAAGACCTCCAAGGTCCCTTCCAACTCTATTCGGATTGAGTCTAGAGAAAGTTAAACAGCTACGCTTGCTATAAGGCAAGCAGGAAAGGATGACAGAATAACCCTTGGATCTCCTACATATGACAGCCTGGTAGAGAAAGTCAAACATGAGAAAAATACCATAAATCTTTACCTTAAATCTTAAAATGGAACAAGGACTGTGGTGCCAAGAAGGAATAACTTTGAAACTGTGAAAATCAAATTTACTATTATTCCTTAAATCAAAGCACCACCTCCAGGGGCTTTCCAGTTTAGGGATATTTAACAAATGTGAAGGCAGTCTTTTACTCACCCGCAAATCAAAGGGCTTTTCCTGACTTAAAAGTTCTCATTAGACGTTTTTGGCTTAATTTTCTTGATATCAATTCTGCTCCCAAAGAGAAACTGCGGTCAAGCTCAGATGCAGAATGGGAATATATAACAAACACTCCTGGAATTCCGAGCACTCGGAGACTGTTATGAAGAGCAAAGAAGGGGAAAGTTTGTTATAATAACCCTTGGATGAGTTAACAGAGGGGGAGGAGTTAGAGGAAACGAGTCAGGGAAAAGGAGGAGAAAGGGCTTGGCCCAGCAGTGCAATTTGTTGAATTCTGGTTTTTTTTCCCTTTAAAAAGTCACAGCTGATTAGGTTTGTGGAAAGAAGGAATAGCTAAAGTGGACTTCACTTGCCTCCTGGCTGAAAGGGCTTAACACAGCAGCTCACTCCAGACAGGCTATGTGTTCACACAAGCCACAGGAAGCAGGTCCATTAAAGATGCAGCAGTGAATTTGCATCACCTTCTAAAGTGGCTTCCCCCCCCCCCAACCTTGGCACCTTTAAGATGGGTGGACTTCAACTCCCAGAATTCCCCAGCCAGTTGAAGTCCATCCATCTTAAAAGTGCCAAGGTTAAAACAAACAAACACTGCTTTAGAGTTTTTTGAGGGAATTTGAAGGCTGGGAACTTAGTGTCTTATGTGAACTCAGTCCACTGAGGTAATAAAGAGTAAACAGTAACAGAGTTGGAAGATACCTTGGAGACCATCTAGTCCAACCCCTTGCTCACGCAAGAGACCTGTACTAGGGATTCAAATCGCCAAACTGCCAACTTTTCTGATCGACAAGCTCAACTCAAGGCCTTATGTGACATTTCCCCTATCAACTGGTTAAGATTAAACCCAGCTCAACATGGTAGGGAACACAGTCACAGAAGAGAGAGGAGAGAAAGCTTTTGATTTCCTAAACAGTCGTAGTAGGAGCAGGAGGATTGCAGTGGTGGTGGGAGAATATTTCTCCGGAGCCTGGCTGAGGAGAAAAGGAAGTGGAGGAAAGCAGCGGAGACTGAAATAACAATTGGTGCCTCTGTTGCGCAGCAATGCAGGCCAAGAGCAATAGAAGGGAAATCCTGCACAGGAAGAATTTACCAGCACCTTGCAAAGTGTGGGAATCAGGAGCAGGAAAATGTGTGTGTGTGTGTAGTGGTGATGGTGGTGGGGTTCAGGTAGGGAATCCCTGCAATCCCTTTGGGAAGGGAGTGAGGAATTCCAAGCAAAAATCAATACCATCTATATGACGTTGCCGGCAGAAGCAGCCATCCCGATAGGAAAAGTGGTCAAAGAAGGAGAAAAGTGCTCTTCTTAAGTTTGAAAAATGGACTTCTGGGTCCATTTGAAATGCAGCGCAATGCTCCCTTTGGCTTTACCCTCTATTCTTATCAGGCCAACATACCTGCAGAGTGAGGAGGTCAGTCAATATGATGAGAAGGTGAAAACACAGTTGAGATTGACAAAGGTAGAGGATTAATGATCAGGCTCCGATCAACTGATCACAGAAAGAAGAATTCAGAGAATAAGCACATTGTAGAGTAGAATGGAATAGGAATAGAATAGAATAAGGAATGAGGAATGGAATGGAATAGAATAGAACAGAACAGAATAGAATGGAATAGAATAAGGAATAGGATATGATATGATATGATAGAATAAGGAATAGAATAGAATAGAATAAGGAATGAGGAATAGAATGGAATGGAATAGAATAGAATAAGGAATAGAAAAAGGAATAGGATAGAAAAGAATAGGATAGAATAAAGAATGAGGAATAGAATTGAATGGAATAGAATAGAACAGAACAGAATGGGATAGAATAAGGAATAGAATAGGATAAAATAGAATAAGGAATGAGGAATGGAATGGAATAGAATAAGGAATAGAATAAGGAATAGGATAGAATAGAATAGGATAGAATAGGTTAGAATAAGGAACAGAATAGAATAAGGAATGAGGAATAGAATGGAATGGAATGGAATAAGGAATAGAATAAGGAATAGGGTAGGATAGGATAGAATAGAATATGATAACTTAGAATAGAATACAATAGGTTAGAAAAAGGAATAGAATAGAATATGATACAATAGGATAGAATAGGTTAGAATAAGGAATAGAATAGAATAGAATAAGGAATGAGGAATAGAATGGAATGGAATAGAATAAGGAATAGAATAAGGAGTAGGATAGAATAGAATAGAATAGGATAGGTTAGGTTAGAATAGAATACGATAGGTTAGAATAAGGAATAGAATAGAATAAGGAATGAGGAATAGAATGGAATGGAATAGAATAGAATGGAATGGAATGAAATGGAATAGAATAAGGGATAGGATAGATAGGATAGAATGCAATGCAATGCAATGGGTGCAGTTCCTGTTTCAGGAATAGGAGGACAAGTATGATACAGTCCTTGACATACAACCATCCATTTAGTGACCGTTCAAAGTTAGAGCGGCACTGAAAAAAATGATTGGTTTTCATACTTATGACCGTTGCAGCATCCCTGTGGCCACATGATCAAAATTCGGATAATTGGTAACTGGTTCATATTTATGACGGTTGCAGTGGATCCCCTTTTGTGACCTTCTGACAAGCGAAGTCCATTAGGAAGCTGGATTCACTTCACAATTGTGTTACTAACTTAACAACTGCAGTGATTCACTGAACAACTATAGCAAGAAGGTCATAAAATGGGGCAAAACTCACTTAATTGTCTCACTTAACAATGGACATTTTGGGCTCAGCTGTAGTCCTAAGTCAAGGATTGCCTGTATTTGCACAAGTTGGCACATATTTGTGGGAATGAAAAGCGAGTGGATCATTCCACTCATGAGCTTCTGCTTCTTGATCCTGGGTGTTGCAGCTGCCCGAGACTCCTAACCAGAAGGAGACTGAAGCAAAGAAGAAGGCAGGCTGACCTTCCAGGAAGAGATCTTCACTGTACCGTGTACAGGTAATATTAGTATTTATAATTAATAAACTTTTAATAATAATTATATTAATTATATTGCTCCTGGGGAAGAAAGCTATGGCAAATCTAGACAGCTCTCTCTCTCTCTCTCTCTCTCTCTCTGTCTCTGTCTCTGTCTCTCTGTCTCACTCTGTCTCTTTTTCTGTCTCTCTCACTCTCTCTCTCTCTCTCTGTCTCTCTCTGTCTATGTGTGTATGTGTGTCTGTCTGTCTCTGTCTCTCTTTCTGTCTCTCTCTCTCACTCTGTCTCTGTCTCTCTCTCTCTCTCTGTCTCACTGTGTCTCTCTCTCTGTGTGTGTCTCTGTCTTTCTCGCTCTCTGTCTGTCTCTCTCTCTCTTTCTGTCTCTGTCTCTGTCTCTCTGTCTCACTCTATCTCTTTTTCTATCTCTCTCACTCTGTCTCTCTCTCTCTCTCTGTCTCTCTCTATGTGTGTGTGTGTGTCTGTCTGTCTCTGTCTCTCTTGCTGTCTCTCTCTCTCTGTCTCTCTCTCTTTCTGTCTCTGTCTCTCTGTCTCTGCCTCACTCTGTCTCTGTGTGTGTGTGTGTGTCTCTGTCTCTCTCGCTCTCTGTCTGTCTGTCTGTCTCACTGTCTGTCTTTCTCTGTGTCTCTCTCTCTGTGTCTCTATCTATCTTTCTGTCTCTGTCTCTCTCTGTCTCTCTCTGTTTCACTCTGTCTGTCTATCTCTTTCTGTCTGTCTCTCTGTCTTACTCTGTCTCTGTCTCTGTCTCTGTCTCTCTCTCTCTCTCTGTTTTATCAAAGCAGTATCCATTCATTCTTGAACAAAAATTCCCTCAATTCTTTCCAAAGGGTTTTTCTTACCATCTGAGCTGGGAGTGACTATTTAACAGCCGCCCCCCCGCCCCAGAAAAGAAATATTTCCCAGGCCTGAATGATATTTTCTTGGCAGAGAGGGACATCCAGGGGATTGTATCAAATGATTTGTGCTGCTGGAAGAAGCAGCTTTGAGCACCCACACCTTGGAAGGAAGCTCCCTTCACATGCAACTTACCTCAACCACAAGATCCACCTCAGCCTTAGCAAACTTTCTCCTCACACGCTGACTGCGTCCGGGGAGGTTTCTTCCATCGTAGAAGTCTTGGAGACGTTCCTGGAAAGCCTTTGTCTCTTGGATAGCTTGCAAGTCATGAATAAAGTTATGTTTATAGAAGAAAAATGTTCCTGGGATGAGGGCAGCTGGATGCCCATTTATAGCAGTTCAGAGCCAATCGAAGAAAGAGACTGATACCTTATCATAACCTCAGCTATAAGTCATGGCGTTGTGTCGTAACCCCTGATAGTGAATCATGGAGCAAGTCGGAATAATGCTCAGCCTCAAAATTTATGCTGTGGGTCAAAGCTGGGTTGCAACCCGAGCCAAAAGGGAAGCTCCATTCCGGCCCTCTTGGATCTGGAACTCTTCAGATTTTGGAACCACAAATTTCCAGAATCTTCTGTCAGCCAAAAGGTGGCTGGCCAAGAAAGTTGAAAGGTATCCTACCAATGCATCTGGGAGGCTGTTTATTTAGCCATTCAATCTTTTTCTTTCTTCCGTTCAATCAGGAGTGGGCTGCTGGGGTTTCGCATGGGTTCAGGCGATCCTCTAGCTAAGGATCTGCCCAGTTTGACAAACACACAAATCCCACCCCTGGCTGGCCCCGCCCCACCCTACCATCCCTGAAGTCTCCACACGGCACGTTTTAGATGTCAGGTAAATTCAGGGCCCACGCGGAGGCTCAGGGAGGGCAAAAAATGGACCTCCCAGAAATTCTGGAACGGAGAACTTTCCGGCCTCCAGAGGGCCTCTGGCGCCCGGGGGGGGGGGCATTTTCTCCCTCCCCGAGGCTCAAGGAAAGCCTCTGGAGCCAAGGATGCGTGAAAAATGGGCCTCCTGGAAGTTCCGGAAGGCCAAACTCGGGCCCGTTTTCAGCCTCTAGAAGGCCTCCAGAGCCTGGGGAGGGCGAAAACACCCCCCGCCATGGTGCAGGAGGCTGATTACGCCATGCCCACCATGGCCACACTCACCCAGCAATGGGGCAGAGAACCTGTTGTTAAAATGTTTGAAGCTGCATTCAATTGTATCCACTTCCCTGAAGTCTCTGAAATTTTCTTTACAAGGTTTTTCAGAAGCCAAAGTTTGCCATTGCCTCCTTCCTAGGGTCGAGAGAGTGTGG